TAAGTACAGTCACGCTATACTGAACGGTGTTTAAGGAGAAGTGAAATCAAGCTTCACAGTGTTAACAGATTAACAGATTAGTTAACAAGGTCACACAGATGATTTAGTCCATTTAAAAGAAGTAGCTATTTTAAAACTTTAATCGTTGGATATTATTTCACTCTTACTTGGGTTGAGTTTAGAATTTCCTCTGTTCGGTATTATTTATTCCTCACAGCATCAGTATAGTTCTGATGCTCAGCATCTTAATAGCTTTTTTTTTAATATAGTGTTTGTGCACTCTGCTGATTCTAGTAAAGGACATTGGCACGCCCCTTGCCATAGACACAACCCTTAAATCCAAGATTATATTTGATCTAATTAAATCTGACATCCTCACAGGAGGATCATGCTACAAGAGGTAGTACTGTGCCATGGAATGACAGGAACAGTAATTTAATAATGAGGAAGTTGGGAACAGACTGAAAGAGGAGATAGGGGAATAAATCCACAGAATCGGCACGGAGGTTAAGAATGCCATATTTGAATTGCAAAGCAAACTTAAGTATTGTTATAGCACTGACGGTTCTTATCCTGGTTATCATGCCTTTACTCAGTTAAAAATAACACATTTATCACTGAGGAATGGAGCTTAATATCTGTCCTTCAGGCTTTTTGGGGGGGCAGGATTTTAAAATTTTATTTATTTCTTTGCTATTTCAGTTGATTTCTCTCCCCTTCCATCCTAAATTTCCATTTATGGTTCATTCCAAAGTCCCTGAATTATAAAAACCTGCTTCTTGTCATGCGTTGCAGTCTTACCTGGTGTGTCTGTTGATTTTTCTGCCACTAACTAATCAGAAGGGCAACAGATCAAGATTTTAAAGACTATTTACTCAATTTAGTGCTTTTAGCCAAATTTTGTAGCCAGTTATATTGGCACATCTCCACTGATTTGATTCTTTTCTTTGTTTACAGAACTTACTTCCAGTGTTGCCAACTTTCACAATTTTCTTGGGATTCCTACAGTATTTTTTTTATTTTCAAAAGCAAGGGCTTCAAAAAAAAAATGACTACACAAGAAACTTATCTGTCACTAAAAAGAACAAGTATATTTCTAGTTGTTGTAGTTGACCTGAATGTGAATCAAAAGGTTCAGAAAGCAGAAGGCAATTAGGAAAGCATCCAAAATGTATATTTTAAAGAAATCTCATGATTCTGAAGCCACTCCTATTACTTTTTAGCAGCTTTATCAAAGGTTTTCTAATGTCTGAAGTTGGTAATCTTGTATATATTCCTTTATTGAGGAAGTAAATAGAAAACTGAGTGTTTATCAAACTTGTGTTACTTTGTTATGTTTGAAGAAATGTTATTTACAACAAACAAAATCAATGCACCGGTGGCTACTTTAGCTTCAGAGAATGGGATGAGTGGCTGATCCTGTCCCACCACTGATGTAAATCATGTAAATTATGCATAAAATGCTCTTTTGCAGCAAAGGGCGCCTTAGGTTGCAAACTGTCTAGCCTAATCATGGTTCCTGCGAAAACTGTGAAGCACCAGTTCTATGGGGTTCCCATAATGGAGAAAATCATTATCTCAATTAAACTAGTGTGACTCTAGATTCCTCACATTGTAACCAGAGTCTGGCACAGAAAGAAGTTGCTTGGGCAAGGTGAAGTAGCTGCAGGGGTGTGGGCTGTGTTTTTGTTTCTGAAGTCTGTGGCTCAACAGGTCAGCTATTAAGCCATATACAAGTGCATACACTTTATATATTCTCCTAGGTGGGGGAGGGAGGGCTACCATTCATATTAATTTGGCTTTTGCTTATTTATATGCATCCATTTTAGTGGCATTGAACCATTTGAGCATTGAGAAAACAGTCAGGCTAGCCATAAGCCCTTCTAAGCATTTGTAAATTTTGTATACAAAACTCTGAGTTTGAGTCTTCACTGTGTTGCATTACTGTTAAGCTACTGTAGCTAATGGAAGTTGCCCTGGCATCTGCACTGTCCAGGTCATCTTTTCTGCTCAGAAGTAATTGAAAAGATGACCCACCCCATCCTGGGGTTTATAGAATAGATTTGTTCAGATTAATGAAAATGGCATTTATGTGCTGGATGCCAGGAGAAGCCGACCAATCATTTTAAGTCCGCATTTCCTGGGTTTGTACGGTTTATTTCAACCTAGGGGTTAGCCAATTGTTTTTTGTTGTTGTGTTAGTTTCCCTATTTTACCGCAGTGTGTTTAAAGAATAGAAGTTGTCACCCAAGGGTATTATAGGTAACACAAAAAAAAATCCAGTAATAGCTTCTTAGAATCTTTCCTGTAGGTGTGACAACCTTACTGTTCAGTATAGCGTTTTCTCACTAACTGAAATCTATTTTAGGTTTCCTGAACATTTTTTAATGTTTTCATGAGATTGTTGCATGCATTATACATTGAATTTTAGAAAACTTGTTCATTTAGAATAAAATTATATCCAGCAAATCATTATTATAATGTGCTTGCGTACTTATTTTGAAGGCTTTTTAAATATTATTATTCATCTAAAAAATTCTCCTAATTCCTTCTGTTTGTGTAAATCCTACTTAGTTTGTGGATTACTCATTACTCCCCCAAGTAACTCCCCAAGTGCTAAAATATTTCTGGAATTTTTGTTGAGAAATACCATGGCAGAAGCAGAGCAGCTGATTTTGTTTTTTAAATATTGTTATCTCACGTTGGATTTGTTTACTTTTATTTTGTTTAGATAAATTAAATTCCAAAAGCAATGAGCTAATACATTGATGCATTTCAGTTTTAAAGCCAAAGCCATATGGATTATATGTAGGCAGAAAAGGAAATGGGCAAGCCAGATAAAGCTCTTTATTTCTTGCACGTACCTATCTTTCCTTGAAGTGGGTGGGGTGTGCCGAGAGTGCAGGATCAGGGCCATCTTTAACTGTTGATAACATTGCGAACTTGCAATCAGTGATTTTTCCATTGACAACTAATATTAAGCTACTGGAGGAAAAAAAAATTAAGGTGTTTTAATGCCTGTGGTTTAGAATTAAAATAATTAAGACTTGTGTGGAAAAATAAGCATGGTAACAAGGGAGCATTATTAAGAATCCTAGATTGCTCCCATTATGTTCCAAAGGCAGTATGGCTTGTAATCTTTGACACCGTGTTTCTGTCCACTTGCCACAAAAGCTAGGGACAGACATTACACGTAAACCAGTTTAAGTGATCAGAAACTGGTTTAAACCTCTAACAGAACAGATGTTTAGTGCACATAAACCAGTTTGAAAATGGCTGAAACCAGTTTGAGATAAACTTGGTTGAATGTACTATCAGACATAACTGATTTGGGTCAAACTGGTTTATGCAATGTCTGTTCCAGACCCCTTACTGGTTTAAATTAAATCAGACTCTCCCAGCATCCTGGCATGCTCTCTGGGCTGGGCTGGGCTGGGCGCTGTGCTCCACAGCAGGGCTGGCCCCTCGCCTCTGCTCCTTGGCTGCAGCTCCTGCAGGATTCTGCCAGGCTTCTACTCCCCACCTCCCCTCACAGACACCTCTCAGCATTAGCTTGCAGACCTTATACTGGCCACCTCAGAGCTGTGGCATATGGGACAGAGGCAGAATCTACAGATAGCTGTTAGTATTCCTCCATTGTATTTTTTAATGGGCTGATAAACACTGAATTAGGGGTGATAAACATTCCCTGCTGGGCTGCTCAGGAGGTCTGGAGACGCCTCCGCTCAGATCAGCCCTGTGGAAAGGAAGGGAGGGCTACTCTTGCTCCCCCCAGTTTCTAGTCTGAGCCACTGCAGCGATATGCCTGCATTTCTGGGATGTCTGTCTGCTACAAACTGATTTAGCCTAGCCAGGTTAGACTAACCTGCAAAGATTGAATCAGTTCAGGCTCAGGCTTTTTGAATGTCTGTCCCTTGCCAAAGGCAGACAAGGTTCTTTGGGTGAATCTGATATCTTTTATTAGACCACTTAAGTAGTTGAAAAAAAATTATTAAGCAAGCTTTGGGGTTCAAAAACCCTTTATCAGGCTAAGGAAGTTTCAGCAGTTGGTGTGTGCTCTTCCTGGGTGGAATGAAAAGTAAAGCAGCCAGAGGCTGGGCTGGTCTGCATGCAAGACAGGGAGTCAGTGAAAATGTAGATTGAGGAGTCAGTGGATGAGAGACAGGCTGGGTGTGGGGGAGAAAAGGGGGATGAATAGTGGAGAAGTACCTGGGAAGTTAGCTGTCAGGCAGGTTATAATGTGCCATAAATCCAATGTCTATATTCAGTCCATGATTTGTGCCCTGATGGAAAATATGTAGGAGAGACCAAACAACAACTGTGCACCAGAATGAATGCACACTGGAAATCTATCAAAGACAGGAATACCCAATTCCCTGTGGGGGCACATTTCTCACAAGAAAACCACTCTCTCTCCAATCTCTCAGTCCTGATCCTCAAAGGAAACTTACAAAACACTTCCCAGAGACGAGCCTATGAACTCCACTTCGTCAACCTCCTGGATACTAAAAATCATGGACTGAATATAGACATTGGATTTATGACACATTATAACCTGCCTGACAGCTGACTTCCCAGGTACTTCTCCACTATTCATCTCCCTTCTCTCCCCCACACCCAGCCTGCCTCTCACCCATTGACTCCTCAATCTACATTTTCAACGACTGCCTGTCTTGTATGCATACTACCCAGCCACTGTCGTCTTTAGTTTTCATTCCATCCAGGAAGAGCACACACCAACTGCTGAAACTTCCTTAGCCTGATGAAGGGTTTTTGAACCCGAAAGCTTGCTTAATAATTTTTTTTCCAACTATTTAAGTTGGTCTAATAAAAGATATCGGATTCACCCAAAGAACCTTGTCTGCCTATGTCCTTAGACCAACACGGCTACAATCTACACCCCTAGTCCTTGCCAAAGACTTAAACTAATAGCTGCATTTAATACATAGGCCTGTGGAGTTGGGGAGTGTCTAATAAAAGTATCTTTTCCCTTAATCAAGAATTACTGAATTGATTGGATACCACCCAGAAGAACTGCTGGGCCGTTCAGCATATGAGTTTTATCATGCCCTGGACTCAGAAAGTATGACCAAAAGCCATCAGAACTGTAAGTCATGCTAACTTGAACCTTGACTAATTGCACATTGTTGCTGCTTTTTTATTCTGCATATATTCTATGAGGATGAAACTCATCCCTGTACAGATAGCTAGCAAAAGATCTTTGCATCCCTTTAAACTATTTTGAAGCCTACTGCTGGCCTTTGCATAGAGATGGATAGCACTGTCATTATTGTTAATATCTTCATTTTTAGGGTATTTATTTGTAAGACATGGCCTTTGTTTCTCTAAATGAACATGTGCCACAGGGTCCATCTGAGAAGCTGAAACACCAGGTATGAGCTGTGAAACAATAAGTAGGAATAAGTGGTCAAGTTGTGACATGGCAAGAAGTGAATAGTCTCGTCTTTGACAAGTTATCTAATAGAACAGAAAAAGCCTATTATTCAGGTGTCTTCCTCAATGTCTCTCTTGTTGTCCTTTATCTGTCACTTTTCTTCCCAACCAAAACAAGCAGGTAAGAGAAAATAGTTTTATTTAAATTAATTCCAATTAGGATAGATTGTGAAAATCGCTCCAGAGCACCTAATATAATGGGGTAATGAAGGAAGGCAATCAGTATTCAGATAATGCCTATTGGAATGCACATGAGTAAGTTCTCCTTGCATATGTGGGTTCTAAGTCATTTCATCTCATAACTCTTTCATGTAAAATGCATTCCTAGAGTAGGGCTTACAATCCAGATCTCCTCTTGCCCAGATGAACACCCTAAATCACGTAGCAACAGTGCCATGTTCCTTCTCTTTGACCCAGTGAATCTTGCTTTTTTTACACAATAGTGTAACTGTAAAAGAAGGGAGAGCTAACAGTCAGGTGGCTAAAGCACTGTCTTGGGAGGTGAGAGACGCATTCCAATTCCCTAAGGTCAGGAGGATCTAAAATCCAAATTATGGATCCAGCAACCAAATTATTAACTACAAGAGGTGCATGTAACACTCCATCCCCCATCCTTTTCCTGGTGCTGCTTTCCCATTTTGAAAAAGGAGTAACCCTAGCTCTGTTGCTGAAAGACTGAACTTAAAAGTCCAGGAGCAGGTTTTGGGATGTGAATTCCAACCTAATTCTAACTCCTAGAAAGGAGCAAGATTTAAGACACATTCCTCTCTTTAGTGCTTCCTCTGGTGAGTAGTTGCAGCAGCTGCCTGCTCAGTGTGGAATCCACACAAACTAGTGTCCTGAGGTGTCTACTTCTCCCCTCCCACTTAACTCAGATTGGTGCATTTCATCCCAGAAGCCAAAGCATTGTGATGCTCAGCAATGTGATGCTTGAGTCCCTTTCTGGATCCAGCCCAAACAGACATTCACTATTATAACAATTTCACAGCAGTTCACAGGATCTGTCAAACTCAAGTGTTAGAGAAACTGTCCAACATACTACAACTGATGGCACCATATAGGGAAAAATTGACATAATGAGATTTTTCAAAGAGTATCACATGTGCAATTTAACCACATGAATGCATTTTGGAAAACTAAATTCAATCCAAGTTAACGGTTTCCATAAGGAAATGCGTACTAAAGACCAGAAATACATACAGTTATAATCAAGCTATTACATAAGTTTTTCGGAGTTCTCTGTTGTAGGTAATAATTGCCATCTTTGCAATATAAAAATAACCTCTAGAATAAATTAACAACAACATTTCTTCTCTATCCTATGTGCACTTCAGATTTTCAAGCTTCCTTTCCCCTGTTCAAAGTGTTCTTCAGCACTAGCTTCCAAAAACAAGCCAACAGACTAATGTACACTTTTTTGACAGTCTTACTGTGGGTTGGAATAAGAACTTCATAAGCATATAATGAAGGTCTTCTATGTGTCTCTCAAATGCATTTCTGAGGAAAGGCTCAGCAATATTATGGTTGTTGTGGCATCCACTAATAGATAATCACCATTTTTTGTGACCCTTTCAGAGTAGGTTTTAACTTGCAGCAGTGAGAACACATGAATTAACAACAGCAGGCAACTACATGACCATAAGCAGGGATTTACCTCAGCCCCAAAGCTAGAGGTGCTAAACGTTAACACTCCCAGCGAGATAAGAATCCAAATGTTTGGCAGAAAAAACAGTCATCTGTGTTGCAGAGCATTGTTGGTATGAATCAGTGTTTCCAGGAGCAGTTCAGTTTGTTCTCAGACAGCTTTCCATTAACTGACTTGGTGTTTGTTACAATCTAGTTTTCCCCAAAGCAATCTAGGCCTTTTATAGGAAGGAGCAATTAACGATATTGTCTCTGCTCAAGCAACCTGTGTATATTTGTCTAAGAGTCATCACAAGCAATCAGTGGGTATGCTGCGTTAAGTCATTTTAAGTCCCATAGATCAACATACCAAAATAACAGTCATAGGCCAGTTATTTTTGAAACAAGGCCAGAAAGGAAATAAAATGAGCATTGGCAGCTTCTTTGTTTGGTAATGTGAGAGAGCGGGAAGGAGTCCATGTTTGTAATTAATTATTTAGGGCTCTGTTCAGTCAAACTTGGTCTGCAGAGGCTCCATTAACGTCCTTGGCTAGGCAGCCATGGAGCCTGTGCTTCTTGCCTTTGCAGCAGTAGGTTTCTCTCATACACAGGGCCAGCACATGTCCCATAGAAACCCTCAAAATAGGACCTCAGCCTCCGAGTCCTTGCTGCTGGACATTGGCGCCGATTCAGAAATGCACTGAAATCAATTATATACTCAGAGGGGTGATCAACAGAAGTGGTGGTCTTGAAACAACAACATAGAGCAGCTCACAGCAGTGGGCATTATGTCAGTAACAAATGTTGGTAACAGATCAGGCCCTTTAATACCAAGACTCACCTCACAGCATCTGAAGATGCGCGAGGAGGTAGGATGCAACCTACCTTTTTCTAGTGGGGGAGGGGAGGCGGCAAATGCTCTAGACATGTAAATTAGTGCAACTCCACTGACCTCAATAGAGTGTCAGTTTAAATCATGAGAGAATTTGGTCTAGTAGACTCACTGTCAGACAAATTACTTCCTAGAACTTCTACTGTGGCAGTAAGGCTTATTGGCTAGGGAAAAAATGTTATAGATAAACCAGCTTAATCAGAAACCAGGTTAAACCTGTAACAGAACAGATGTTCAGTGTACATAAACCAGTTTGAAAATGTCTGAAACCGGTCTGAGATGAACCTGGCTGAATGCAGTATCATACTTAACTGCTTTGGGTCAAACCAGTTTATGTAATGTTTTTCTCAGACCCCTTGAATGGTTTAAGATAAACCAGACACTCCTAGCATCCAGACATGCTCTCTGGGCTGGGCGGGGCTCTCTGCTCCACAGCAGGGCTGGCTCCTCCCCTCTGCTCCCCAGCCAGAGCTCCAGCAGAGACTTTCAGGCACAGAGCATCTGCCTGGCTTTTCCCTGCTAAGCAGGGATTGTGCCCCCCCCCACCTTACACAGACACCTCAGCATTAGCTTGCAGACCACTGGCTATAGTCTGGCTATAGTCTGTGCTGTGAGAGACAACAGCCAGACAGTTTCTTTGGAGCTAATCAACAGGTAGCTTAATGTCCTTCCTCGGAAGAGCTGTTTAAGAAGAGCTCCCTTAGTTAATGGAGAGACACTTTGTTTTCTTAATGGGTTGATAAACACTGAGTTAGGGGTGATAAACATTCCCTGCTGGGCTGCTTAGGAGAGGGGAGAATAATCAGAGCATCCTACTGGGGCCTGGCCTTGCCCCCCCTCAGATCAGCCCTATAGAAGTGAAGGGACTGCTGCCCTAGCACCCCCCCATTTTCTAGCCTGAGCCACTGCAGGCATGTGCCTGCATTTCTAGGATGTCAGTCCGGTTACAAACTGATTTAGCTTAGCCAGGTTAGACTAACCTGCAAATATTGAATCAATTCAGGCTCAGGCTTTTTGAATGTCTGTCCCTAGCCATTATGGAGCACACAGAAGGAAGAAGAAGAATGGCACATATCAAACCAGGGTTGATTAGCCATCAGGGCACCAGCAAGTTTCAGTTCAGTGGTTCTCAAACCTTTTTGGACTTGAGGCACCCCTCCATAACTTTTGTGAATTGAGTGGCACCCCATTTCAAAAACAAAATTATATATTATAGTGCTTACCTGCTTAAAGAGGGGCCAATTAACAGGGGGAGCAACTGGCAGGGAAACAGGAGGAGTGGCTAACAGAGAAGAACCTGCATTTATCTTGTTTATCTCCTTTTTCCCTGCGACACCCTTCAAAGCTGTCATGGCACCTCAGAGTGCCACAGCACCCTGGTTGGGAATCACTGGCCTAGTTGAACAAAGAAACTATTTGAGAGCCTGAGCCAATATACAGAAGTTGTGTTCTGTGACTTCATACACCTTGAGTAACTAAACACTAATAGCATAATAGACTTAATATGGATAGTATTAATTCGGAATTTTATAAATACAAAAGGTTCACACACTTCAAGTAATTTTACTTACTGAGAAAACTCAGCCATAGTAATCTCTGATTAACAAAATCCTTCCCAAAGCATAGGCACAAACAATTCAAAATGCAGAGGAAAATAATACTCCATACTAAATATATTAAATAGTCATCTTTTATTTAGCCAAAATATTTCATCTAAAGTAAACATATTCTACACTACAATATATATGTTGATTATGAATACATCAGTGCCAGCAATTTAGTGTTACAAGGAAAAATAATCAAGTTCAACAACAGGATTTCTTTTTCATAAGGTAATCTGCCATTGCACACAAAAGCCAAGTGAATGGGTGATAGGGAAGGAAAAATTTGAAGGCTGAACAGACAGATAAAATGAGACTTTCAGATAGACACACAACTGTTCCTTGAATGTATTGGTCAGTGAATAACACTCACCACACTTGTTGCAGATTCACAATAATGTAATGCTGTTTTGAGATGAGGTAACAACCCTTTGCTGAAATAAACTATAGTACTGTTCAAATTCTTGGCTGCAAGTATAGCTTTTATACAGTATGAAAGCCTTAACTGGTTGTCATCAAATGCAAGGTTAGAATTTAATTTGGCAGTGGTTAGCATACCCAATCTTTACAAATTGCGTGAGGAGGAGATGAAAATCTTTGTCATACTACATAAATGTGCACAGAGGCTTCACTGCAGAGCTATACTTTCCAACTAAACAATAAATATTCTATAACTGTTTCCATTTAGGGTCTGTTCCTGTTCCCATTAAATCCAGTAGGATCTTTGCCACTGATTTCAATGGGAGCTGGATCTGGCCATCTGGGACATGTCAATAGGAAGCAATGAAAATGAACAAGCAATTAAAAGCAAAACAAAGTAACTGAGCATAAAGAGATATCTGTGGGTGACTAAATATGATGATATAATTCCTTCTTCCAATGCCATAAAGTGTGAAAATTCTGGTAATACACATATAAAATAGAAGTGTGTAAAACATTTTAACTTCCTAACAACTTGGAAGTCTGAGACTTAACATGCACAGGTCACTGAAAGACAGCATTCACAAGTGCATTAGTAATTTATAGTGTTACTCCAAGAAAGGGGTTCTGCCATGCTTTGTTGTATCAGAACACAATGTGCTTTGAAAACAAAAATAAGATTAAGATAGTAGAAAGCTTTTCTGTAATGTAACAGGCGCCTTATTATGACTCTTACTGGTGAGCTGATGATTAGGAAACCACATAATTATGTTTCACAGCACAACAGAACACAGTCACTAAAACACACTGAAATAAAAGCCTTTTGATTTTGTTTCATACAAGTATTTAATAAAAAATGATAATCTTGTATTTTATCTGAATAAAAAAGTCTAAGTTGAATAAAGGATGGTGAAATACATTTTGGAAAGAAACTTCAAAGAGAGGAGAATAAATAGTGTAGAAATTACCCTGATTTTTCCCCCACAAAATTAAAGTGGCCAGCTCCATGGTTTATATGCAGTTAGAACTTCCGCTTATTTTAGTAGCTTCCACAATGGTCCAGTACACAGGCAACGTACCTGTGAAGAGATTGAATAATTAAATGACTGTTCCTGTGGTCAAGTTACCATAAAGTGATGCTACTTTTAATGACCTAGTTCAATAGCAGGAGTGTTGTTCCAGTAAAAGAAACTTAAAGGGGAAATTTGCCAGAATGTTCATTAAGGGCTTGATTGTGTAAACTCCCACAGGAGAGCACTTAGCAGCACTGCTGGTTTCAGTGACTGACTTGGGTAAGCACTCATTTATTGCAAATATGAGGAACGCACTCAGGCCCCAGTATTGCATTAACATAGAAACAGCTGCCAATTAGGATGAAAACACCGTTTCACTTAAATGAGAGAGTGCGAGACAGAGAGTTCATATTAGCTGTTTTGAGGAAAAGAAGTTTGATATCAAAAAGAGCTTCCTAAAACCTTAGCTTTTCAGCTGTCAAGGACTCTACACTGAAACATCTTATGCACCTCCAACTATATGTCTCATTTTGGGATTTAATCTGTTAAACATGAAACTGTAAACCTGAACAACACCTTTTGAGTAGTGTGCTGCTATGCAAAGATTAATTGTTTTCTGTAATTCCAGCTGTTGAATGAAAGTATTACATTGTCCTGTTAGTATTACTTGACTTTTATTCTTTGCTTGAAACTAGTAGGCAAAGAAGTACTATTATAGAGGAATAACAATTGTACAGTTCAAGCAGCCAGGAAAGCAGAATAGTTGAACTCTCCATTTTCTGTATGAAACAAAAAACCACCATTGATAATTCTTCACCATCTCACTTTAACTGCTTTTTAGAAAGTTTTTTTTGTCCTCCACTCCCCCCAGCTTCATGCTACTATAATGACACTGGTTTTAAAGCAACACCATATCATATGTTGTTTTCTTTGGGTGTGTCTACACATGCAATTACAGTGCCTGAATAAACTGCGGAGCATATTGCTCCCAGGTGTGCCATTTGAACATGTGCCTGGGAGCAATTAACTCTGGAGCAATAAGCTCCACAGTTTATTCAGCCACAACACACAAAGCCCAGGCGGAGCAGCCCTAGCTGGCAGTGGGCCCCACGGGTCAACCCACCAGCTTCAAACTCAATATGCTGTGGAGGGGCTGGCATGGGGCATGAGGGAACTTCAGTGTAGGACAAGCCAGCAGGCAGTCCCCGCACTGAAGCACCCATACCCCAGCCAGCTGGGCAGCCTCTACTGCACATGTGCTACTGTGGAGCTTTTTACTCTGCAGTAGGATAGCACTTGTAAATATAGGTGCTATCCTGCTGCAGAGCAGATTAGTTTACTTCAGCTTAATAGGGGCACGTGTGTAGATGTTGAGATGTTTACTGCATAGCTAATTAATCAACTGCACAGTAAATGTCTCATGTACATGCACCCATTGATAACAAAACCCATTTGGAATATTGATGTCATATACTCATGATTCCAGGACACCAGGAAAGGAAAAATGTTCATTTAAGCCAAGATTTTCTTTTTTTAAATGTGAACTTAAGGTTAGGCTCCTATATTCAAAGCAATCTAAATAAAAATAGAACTGGCAGATGGAAAGAGTGGAAAGCCACAATGTCAGGAGGATGGATTCTGGGTCTTTCACTTGTAAGATTCTTTCAGGATCACATGTAAAGCTGGGTGTCCAGAGCCCCAGGGAGTCCTTGGGCTGAGATGGACAGTCAGCTGATTGTTGGCCCCAGCACCACCCATTCAAGAATGAAGCCAGTTCGAGACTCCCATGCAGTGCTGGTTCTGGGTCTGACAATTAGAGAGCTGTGCATATTGGAGATCGTAGTAAACATTAGTGTCTGACTGCTCAGAACATGTTCTAACTTTAATACCACAGAGATTTAACATGTACTAAGTATCTCATATGGCAAGGGCCATTTAGACATGTAGGACCTGCTGTTCATGCGTTCCCATTTTAGTGCTCACCATCTCCAAATATCAGATTTCAGGTGTCTCAAGGGATGACCCAGAATCCATGGCTCCTTTTGAAAAGCTTTCTACATTTGTTCAAGGAAAAAAAAAAAAAAATCAGACTTAAAATGGCTAACTCCATTGCTATTGTTGTACATGACAAACTCAAAAGCAATTTTACTGGTTTAAAACTGTGTTGCATTAATATATTACTTTCTTATAAATACTGCTACATTATTTATGGGGTTTTTTCCTCCTTTGCCAGTGTGTGCAAAAGGTCAAGTAGTAACTGGCCAGTATCGTATGCTTGCAAAACATGGTGGATATGTATGGCTGGAGACCCAAGGAACTGTCATTTACAATTCCCGCAATCTACAGCCTCAGTGTATTGTCTGTGTCAACTATGTACTGAGGTAAGTTGCACTGAATCCACAGGCAAGAATTCTTCTGGACGATATCTTTTATTGGACCAACTGTAGACATGGCAAGCTTTCAGGAAGCACAGTACCCTTCCTCAGAATCCATAGCTCTTGAGAACTTTTATGCTATTGTGGCAGCTGGCTGAATTTTTGTAGGGACCAATTCTACCAAACAACATACAAGTATCACTGACATTGGTTAAGAAACAGCATGCCCATTCATATAAAATGTATTTAAATATAGGCACCTAAGGCTTTTATTTTGTCAGTAGGACAGAATATAAATGTCCATGAAAAAAATTTTACTGTAAAAACAAATCTGCCAATATTTGCTCTTTTGCTATTATTGTGCCAAAGGGGTTAAGACTAGCTTTTGTCCTCATTTCTCATCTCATGAGAAAGAAACAGTTTTCCTTAGCAAAATCAGGATTATAGAATAAGCTTTGCTTGGTAAAAAAAATCAAATATTGTAATGACAGACTAAGCCAAAAGCTGTAGTCTTTACTCATTTAAAACTATAGTGGGTCACAACAACACTACTACCTAACTACAGAAGCTGTAAAACCAGAACAACTTTTTTCCCCAGAAATACAGAACAGTCCCCTCATTTCATGACGTTAAGGGGGGCTGGCAGCTCTAGAACCATGCCTGGGTATCTCAGGTGGAATTTTGGGGCTTTACCTTTCGACTTGTAACAGTGTGTCTCTTTCTACACTGATTTTGTTTGATTGCAAAATGCCTAACTCATGTAATTACTTTGTTAGTGAAATTGAGAAGAATGATATTGTGTTCTCAATGGACCAGACAGAATCTCTTTTTAAACCGCACCTACTGACAATGAATGCTATTTTTGATAATGGGGTCCCACTGACCGAAAAGAGTGACTTCCTGTTCACCAAACTGAAGGAAGAACCAGAGGAACTTGCTCAGTTGGCACCAACCCCAGGCGATGCCATCATTTCTTTGGATTTTGGTTAGTATTGTACAGTCAATTGGGGCACAATAAAAATAGCCACATGGCACTTGCCAAAAAGAACAGGAAATAGAATGGGTTGGATCCTGCTCCTTTTTGTGCTTAAATTGGGAGTGACACGAATAGAGTCAGGGATTCATACCAGTCTAAAATTTCTAAGAGTAAAGTCAGAATCAGGCTTATTTGTTTTTCTTAATTCACACCAAAACCTTAAATATGTATAGCCTTGATATCCCTGCAGCAGGTACAGCTGCAACTCTGTCATTGCAGAATTGCTACCCTGAAAGAAGTGTTAAACTTGTTAATGTCTATGCAGGGCCACAAACATTTGAGGAAACCTCTACCTACAACAAGGCAGTTTTGACTCCAAACAAACAGTGGCCAGTGGAAGTGAAGAGTCATGCCTCCCAAAGTGAAAATTTGACCATACCATCATTTACAATGCCACAGGTTGCTCCTGGCAGCAGTACTCCAAGCGCAAGTAGCAACAGCAGCTGTTCCACGGTAAGAAAAGCATTTAAACAAAGAGTTAAATATTTATCTTCAAGCTGCAGTGCAAATAAATACATAGAGTTGAATGTTTTTTACACTGCATTACATATAAATGTATAAAATAAGCCTGTTATTGATTAGGAAATGAATAAGGCACCTTTATATGCATACATCTTAAGATTATATTGTATACATCTTAAGAACAGTAGACGATATATTAAACAGGACACTAAAATTTCACTTTGAATTCTTCCAGCCACCCTCACTAGTTTTCTGTCATTACAAACAGCTGCTAGAACATGATAACACTAATAGCTGCTGCCAGCCTATGTAAGTGTTGTTTTACATGGTTTAGCTACTATCAAAAACCCCAGAACATCACCACCTATCTTCTTTTGTACATTAGTTAAAAGGTGTAGCCTTTGTTCATGATTTCCAAACACAGATAGACCTATTAGTTTTGTTAGTTTGGGCTTTCAAAGCTAACAACATGGATTTTCTGTCCTTATGGAAAAAAAACACAAGCTTCTGTGCTGGGTTTCACTGAATGTCTGATACCTTCCACCAATTTGCTTGTCTAACACACCAGCTTCATTTAGTCAAAACTGGACTGTGCACAGTTCTGTGACAGGTGGTACTTAGTTTAATTAAAAGGCACAATTCCTCCCCAAAACTGGAAAGCACTAGTATAGCAGGCCATTATGAGGTGATGCCCCATTAACTCAGGCTGATAAAAACTGGAGCTGGAGCCTTAACAAAAAGACAAAACAGGAACCATGCTTAAATTTAGGTTTACATTCTGGGCCTTTCTACCCTGGGCACTTCCTATTCAAATTGTTGACTGCTTTTACTAGTTATTTACTGTAAATGTTTTCACCATTTCTTCATGAAGAAACTAATTTTCTGTTGGAGAAGGGTGTGTTTAGAGATGTGAGAACACAACAGGCCCCAACTTGCTAGTTACCTGTTAGAGCCAACATTCATTTTTGTACGGCATGACTCTACATCACATCAAATGCACAGGTCACCTAACTTTTTCTCACAGGTTTCTTTTTTTATTCCTGTGCAGCCAAGCAGCCCAGGAGACTATTACAGTTCCTTAGATGAAGATCTTAAAATAGAAGTAATTGAGAAGCTCTTTGCCATGGACACAGAGTCAAAGAATCAGTGCAATTCCCAGGTGAGGGGACAATTATATTTTCTTCTATAAGCTACAAAGCAATCCTGCACTACTGTGTAGTACCAGTGCTCAGTATGTCATAATAGAGCCCTTAAGTGTCAGAATTGTCAACAGCTCCCATTCCTTGAGAGGATCCCCTGAAGGTTGGTATAGTATGAAGATGCTTGGGGAAGGAGCAAACAGGTTTGCAGAACAAGTGAATCTCCTCTGAGACCATCTTGCAGCAATACTTAAGCAACAGTTTAAACCTGTAGAGAGGTTATGTTGCAGAGGCTATAATAGTACCTTTTTCTCATCTGTTTAACAAAATAGAACTGCAGTCAAGGACAGGTTTGTGCAGGGAATAAGGCCGGATCATTCCTACTTGTCCACCTTAAGCTACCACTGCTAGAAGTGGAAAAAGATCCTGTGAACTCATTTTGCTCTCTGTTGAAGAGTTCCATTTGAACTGGCAGGTTAAACTGGTTACAAGGAAGATTTGCAAGGGCACCTCCACAAAAATATGCTTATGCACTTAGCTTCTGATTTGCTACATACAGTCCTCAGTTTGCAGGGGTGCTTACCTATATGACATGCAAACTAAGAATATGCATCAGAGCTTGCATATATAACATGCAGGAGAGCACAGGTATGTGCACTCTTGAAACTATGGTTGAAAGCTAAGAGGCAAACCTTTTCAGTCTTATTTTGCCTGTGCCTACACTGCTTGATTTAAAGAAAGAAAACTAGTTCTTCAAAGTGCTGAAAGTGTATTCAGATCAGATACAAGATATATGCAGCAGAAGTAATAAAGATTTCCTGTGGCCCCAGGGCCAGTGAGGAAGGTTTTTCAGAGAAAGTTGGGAGAATACAAGATCTGTTGCATCCTCCAGTAAGAAGAGTGTTCCACCTCCACGTTACACCTCACTTTGTGACAAAATCAGAATTATTATTTAGGACACAGCTCTCTTGTCCTTTCTTTTTCCAGGTTCTTATGCAGTGAGACAGAAATGGAGGAATGTAATGGAAACTACTACCATGTGAAATACTACTTCCCTCCATGCTCTTGTTGGTGGGTTTTGTGTGTGTAGCGTACAAAAACTCCCTTCAGAGCTGGGGGTGGGGGAGGATTATTAGCATTATTTAAAATGTACAAGACAAATTGAAGAAGTAGGCCTCATTCTGAAGAGACTGTAGTCTAACTTTGGATATATAATTCAGCAGTGATAGAACCATATGGTAGGAAGGGTAGGGAAAGAGAGGTAGAAAGAGTGAAGAGCAGGCAGAAAGGGGAGGGAGAGATTAGAAGGGTGGAAGATGTAATGCAGGGCTATCCAACTGGTGGCCTGCAGTGTTCATCTGGCACGCTAGGGGTTAGCCTGTGGCCCTCAGGCTTTTGCTTGGCTACCACTCCTCCTACTGCTCCTACCAGCAGGGCAGCATAGCAAGATGGGACTCTGAGCCTGTTTCCTGTGTGGCAGCTATGAGACGGTTCACACTGCCTGTGTAGTCCCAGGGAGGCCCCCTGGACACATGCTGCATGGCCATGACTGGTGTGACATCCAGTAAAACGCAAATGGTACCAGAGTCTATTCAACATTCAAAATCCATTTTCTCAGATGACTTCAAGGGGATGCTTGTTCAGAACACTGTCATGCTAACAGGTCTTTCTGTTGATGATCGTCCAAATCCTCCCTGCAGCTGTGGGACAACAAAGGCTTAGATCAGGGAGTTTTCTGGTGGAACCAGTGGTGTGCTAGCAGTGTGAGGCTGTTGGCATTTTCTGTAATGATCTGGAAGGATGGGAAGCACACTCTCATCCCCGTCTCTAGTTTTACTTGTTTCTAGCCACGGCGTGTGAGAAGATGCATTTGGATGTAGTCGGCATGCTCCTGAAAATATAGAAATGAGAGTTAGTCTCTTTGCAAACTGTATTTCAGAAGTCTTGGAATTTTTGTAGTACATTTTGTGTACTGCTAGTTTTGAATAATCTTTGCTTTTTATTAGTCAGTAATAACCTGAACTGAAATACATTTGAGAGCAATTTGAGTCTTAGCGGAGAAGTTATTCAAAACCCAGCAGATCAACCCAAACTGGCATGATAAACTTACAAACCAACATTAGACTTTAGCAGGTATCATGTAGATAGGAGCACTGCAGGGGTGTGTGCAGCATTATGTTTTCATTCCTGCTGCCCACCTCTCATATGCCCTGCTACCTTACCTCCGGCAGTATCAAGAAATGTGCAATTGATGAAAACAGATATTTCAGTAATGATATCTTTAAATGTGTCTGCCACTTTCACTTAAGTCAGTGAACAATGATTCTTCAGTCTCACATTTACTGAAATTTCATCTTCCAGCTCATATTAACCACCACAAGTTTGTTATTAGCACTTTTATTTCCTGTTGACTTTTTTTTATTTTTGTTTCCTCAGGGTTTTAATCTATACATTTTAACCAGGGCAAGAGTCCTAAGTAATCCTCCTTTTTGTCTAGTCC